AGCCAACTATTGCAATTCAACTCATTTTAATCCAATTTAATCATACCAAATCACCCTTTTAATTAAATATGCTATAAAATCGCATAAATTCTAACGATCGTAGAATATCAACCGGTTTCGGATTCGGCCGCCGATAAGGCCTTTAATTTGCAGTTTAAACACAAAAATGTGAACAGATAGTCAAACAGTCAAACAGATAGAAATGCATTTAAACAGATACAGTTAATCAATCAGTTTCAGATTTCAGTCAGTCAGTCAGTCAGTTCAGTAGTTTATTCAGTTCACTTATCAGTCATAATCAGTTTCAGTTTAACGGTAATCAGTGGTTATTCGATAAACAGTGACGAGGGTTGTTACACAGCCCTAGCAAACAATATGAGGTCATCAGCATAGAACAAATTAATAATACAAGGACCAGCCTTAGCAAAGTTGATACCCTTCCAGCTTTTCCTATCAGCCAAGTGGCTAATCATGTTGGAAAGCCTTTCCATGCAAAGAACAAACAGACGAGGGGATAAAGGGCCCCCCTGTCTGAGACCCTTCATAGGTCTAAATTCCTCTAAAGTTTCGCCATTCCACAGAATAGAAGATTGGACAGTTGTGACGCAACATATGATAAGATCAATCCATTGGGCATTAAGATTAAACTCCTGCAGAGTTTCTCTAAGAAAATGCCAAGATATATTGTCATAAGCTTTCTCAAGGTCAATTTTCATGATCATACTGCCAGCTTTACCTTTCAGGTAACGCATCGTATGAATAGCTTCTTGAATAATGATAATGTTATCATTGGTATTTCTACCAGGGATAAAACTGTTTTGATTGGGCCTCACAATATTATCAAGGAGAGGTCTAAGCCTGTTCACCAAGATTTTAGTGATAACTTTGTAGGTCACATTACCGAGGCTGATAGGTCTGAAATGTTTCACAATTTCGGGGCTATTAACTTTGGGAATAAGCGCAATCAAAGTTCGGTTAATTTTCTCTGGGATATAATTGTTAGTAAAACACGATTTAACAAAAGAGCAAACCTCAGTACCAACAATATCCCAGTACTTGTGGAAAAAGATAGCTTGGAAACCATCCCTTCCACGGGCTTTAAAGGCTTTGATATTAAACATAGCCTTCTTAACCTCAGCATCAGTAATGGCCCTAGTCAAGTCTATGTTATCTTCTTTAGACAACATAACAACAACTTTATTACACCAGTGGGCAAGAGAATTAGCTATAGGATTATCAAACAAATTTTTAAAAAAGAGAAGGACTAAATTTTTGAGCTCATGTGGCTCATCAATCCAAACCCCATGCTCATTTTTAAGGACATTAATTTGTAGTTTCCTCCTTTTGATCGGAGTGGTAAGATGAAAGAATTTGGTCTTACGGTCCCCTTGAGTGATCCAGTTGGAACGGGACTTTTGAAACCAGAGTAACTCCTCATGGTAGAGGATTTGATTATATTGGTCAACCAAGCCCTTTTCCAAAACATGGAGGTTGTGAGAATACAGTCTAGCTTGGGATTTTTGGATCTCTTCAATTCTACCAAGAAGCCATCTTTTATTTCTAAAGATGTTACCGAACACGTTTTTATTCCAATCCAAAGCAGAGGAGGCCATATTATGTAACTTAACAAGAAGATTATTATTATTATTATTATTAGAATGCGTCCAGTTAGAGTGGACCATGCCTCTGAAACCTTCATGAGCAATCCAAGCAGCTTGAAATTTAAATTGCCTATTAAGAGGGGTATGAGGAGACTTACCTTGGGTATGAACAAGCGTAGGAGAGTGATCGGAGTACGTTCTGGGCAGAGTGCGAACAAATCCTTTAGGGAATCTGGTTCTCCATTCTGCGTTGCATAAGGCTCGATCAAGTCGGATTAGACTTTTTGCTCAGCCTTGTCTGTTATTCGACCAAGTGAGACTCGGACCAATGCACCCTAAATCAAGGAGGTTGCATTTGTTGATATGATTCACAAACTTTTTATACGGCTAATGCTTTGACAGAGATTTTGAGAAGTGGAGTATCTTCTTTTTTCCTTAGGACTTGCATGATCGTTGATGTCACTTGCCAGAAGCCAAGGCAACTGATTAGTCTGTGCTATGTTTTCCAGACTATCCCAGAGCTCATCTCTTATTCGAGGATTGGGGCTAGCATACACCGCAGCAAGCATCCATTCAGGGTAGTTTTGTTTGGAAATGGTAGCAAGGATCATCTGGGAGTTAGCTTCAGAGACTCGAACATTAATATTGTTTGTATTCCACAGCATCCAAATCCCTCCACTTCTGCCAATAGGGTCCACATGGGAAGACGTTGTATAGCCAAGGCTGTTAAAGAACATGCCCATAGAGCTCAAATCCACCTTTGTTTCCATTAGGACTATGAGATCTGGTTTGTGCATAGCTACCAGTTCTTTCAGAGTTCTTCTGAATTTATTGTTACCTGCCCCACGACAGTTCCAAAAAAGCATATCCATGACAAACATTTGGGTTATATTTGGAATATCAGAATTTTCTAGTGCACCCAGAATATCCCTAACTTTGAGGTGATTCTCTTCCATGGATAACTTCGATTTTACGATCACTAGGTGTTGATTCTGGCTGGCTTCGAACTGCCACCATGGCTGGATCTTTAGCTGTACTTCCTCTACCTTCTAATCTAAACCGACGAGGTGAAAGGCTTCTTTCCCTGGTCTTAGGCAGATCATCACTCGGTTCTCAGCGACTCTGTGATTGGTTATGTGTTGCAGGAGCTCTGGAGTCTCCAGTGAGCCGGTTTGGTGTTCTCCTCCTTCCATTTCTGTGTGTGACTTTGTCTGGAGGTTCTCTACTAACTTGTGGGGTTGTAACACTAGGGGATAGATCTGAAAGGGCCATCTCCTTGGTATGCAAGTTGTTCTGGCCTTGAGTGTTTACATCAATGTCAGTAGGACTCGACACCCCTCTGTGCAGTGTTATCTTAGATTCTGCTTTTTTACCTTCTCTGACGAGCTCCCTCGTCTTGTCCTTATCCATAGCTGACCTGGGGCTACTACTTGCATCGTTGCTTTTTATAGGTGGAACCGTTGATTTGTTTTTGAAACTGGCTTCATTGCTGGGCCGTGGGCTTGGATCCATTAGTGCCTCATGTTGCCCTTCGGACTGGTCCGCTTGTATCTCTTGTAGGGCCTCAAATCTATTACCTTGTCTGTGGGCTAGTTGTTTTTGTGCCTTGGGCTTTCTGCCTTGTTTTTTTCCTATTTTGGGCTATCATCCATGGTCCAAAATTGGACCTATTAACCTCGGTACTATTTCCAGATTCCCTGGGCTGATTTTCCGTGGGTTGCCTTGGCCCAAACTGATCTTGATTCTCTTGAGGCCCAATCTGGTTGACCTGGTCCTCAACGTTTCGTTGTTGAGTCTTCTCCGATAGGTTGTCGGCGCAGAACTCTCTCCGATGGCCAATCCTACCACAAGAAAAGCAAAATGAGTGTAATTGTTCATATTCAATGTAATATTTATATTTACCTAGTAAAAAATGCGAGATCAGCGGTTTGTGCAGGTCCATTTCGACACACACGCGGGCATATTTGCCTCGTGTTGTCATTGCTGTGTTGATGTCCACCTTCAAAGGTCGTCCCAAGACTTTCGCAATGTGGAATAACACTTTCTCGTTGCAGTATTCAATCGGCAAGGTTGGGAATCTAACCCATATGGCTGTAGTATCCTCCTCCGCAGCATCGGATTTGAAATCGGTTTGCCATTTTCTAACGGTCACATAGTGGTCCATCACCACCCATGGACCACAAGTGTAAACCCTTGTATAATCATCCATCATATTGAATTTGACAATAAAAAAACCCATTTCCAATATCTAAGGTTTCGAAATCGGCTTGAAGTCCCCAAATTCTCTTCATCTTATTGACAAAGAGTTTATACCCTACTTTTTTCCCCAAAAGGCGAACGATTAGGCATTTCTTCCATGGCTCTCTGATTTTCCTGAGGAGCCCAGCTGGAATGTTAACTTTAGGTAGGCCTTCAAAATCCATTACCTCTGTTTCATCCTTATTGTTCTTTTCATGTAGATCCTCTTCATCATCAGAAGAAAAGAGCTCCGCATCGCCATCGAAGTTCTTTTCATTACTATTTTCGTTAAAACGCGAATGAAGGAGGGCTTGTTTAAAGGATTTTTGGCATTCTCCTACATTCATCTGTGTGCGATCCAGTTCACCCTTGACAGCTTGAGCTTTGTTTATGGCTGGGTCTTCCATGCGTTCATCCGCTAGATCTTTTGGGTTTGCCTCATGTCTATGTCTTCTTTCTCAGTGCCAACCCCTTTGATTTTCTTTGTGCTCCGTGCCAGATGGTCATCTTCTTCGGTGGAACGGCCATGGGAGCAAGTAGACTCAGAAACGGTCATTCTTTTAGAGAGAGAGTTTTTTTTTTTGTGTGACTTTCTTCGTTGAAACGGACCTTAAATTATTTGGTGTATAATAAATTAAGAGTTTGTTTAATATATGCTAAAATAACACTATTATTTGAATTATAATCGTTTTATTTGAGTTATGTCGTCTCTCTATCATATCATTTTAATCCCAATTTATATTTTACAATTTTTATCATAAAAAATTAAAAAATATACTAATTTAACACATTCCAAACAAACCTAAATGCTTATACCTTTTACCATATATCACTGTAATTCAAATTATGAAATTTTTGTGTATCCCAAATTCCATCCGGGTCCCACACTAGTGACCAAATACCATTCCTAATAATTAACGGGACCGTGATGAGCCGTAACGGTACCGCACCCATCAGTTCACGGCACGTTAACCATGTAATCACGTTCCACCCAACAATCCTGCTTTTCCCCGCCCCACTAACGTCGTCTTTCTGTCCCACACTAACCCTAACCCTAACCCTAACGTCCACCACTCTGTGATTGGTTATGTGTTGCAGGAGCTCTGGAGTCTCCAGTGAACGCCCAACCTCCATCCAACCCTAACCTCCACCACCACCACCGCCGCGGCGTCGCCACCTCCCACCACTACCAATCTGCCCCTCACCGATTCCCCTCAAAGTCGACCCCGTTACACGCGCCACCCCTGTCAACTCAACCTCCCCTCCCTTCCATCACCGCCGCCGCCAAAACAGCCTCTGCCGCTGCCGTCGGCGGCGGCGGAGGAGAAGGAGACGATGGCGAGAACTACAGCAACGGCGCTTTTCAAGAAGTTAATCCTTATACGGAGAACGATTCGAATCCATTCGATGAGGAGTCCGATCCGAACAAATCTAGGGCTAACAATGCGTTGACCGAGAAGCGGAAGGATCGTGAGGAGCTCAGCGACGGTGGAACAACAACACCTTATTCTTACAAAAAATCCAAACTCACCTCCGGCAGCGCCGCCGCCGCCGGCGGAGGCAGCGGCGGAGAGTACAGGAAAGACAGGGAGGAGTGGAGCGACACCGCGATTGCTTGCCTTCTCGATGCGTATACGGAGAAGTTTACGCAGCTGAATAAGGGGAATCTGAGAGGGAGGGATTGGGAGGAGGTGGCTGCGATTGTGAGTGAGGGATGTGAGAAGCAAACGAAGAGCATCGAGCAGTGTAAGAACAAAGTTGATAATTTGAAGAAGAGGTATAAGTTGGAGCGGCATAGGATGAACAATGGTGGTGTTTCGGCAAGTCATTGGCCGTGGTTCAAGAAGATGGAGCTGATTGTTGGTAATTCATTGCCGTCGAAGGCAGTATCGGAGGACGACAAGGCTGTTTCCGGCTCGTCTAACTCGCTTAGACAATCGAAAAGGTATAGGTTTTTTTGTTACATTGTTATTTGTTATTTGAATTCTGGTTTGTTTATATATGGATGTGATTATATATGTCTTCTCTGTTGTTTTACATTTGCCACTGCTGAATTAATATCTTATTGAAATAGTTTTATTTATTAGGTTTTGATTGCATTGTAGTAGCATCATGCAATAGTCACAAAGTAAAAATGGTTTTTGAAGACTGTAGGGAGTGATTAGTTTTGTAAGGAAGTATTCTATGATTTCCTCCTTATTCGGACTAGAAGTACTTGGCAATTTAGCTGAATTGATTTTGGTCTATTTAATTAATTTATGATGCTGGTAATGAGAATCGGTGGCTGTAATTGTGATTCAATATTACTGTTCTTTAATTATAGGCCTAGTTAGGATAGAGAGTTAATTTGATGATGCTTTTTTGCATCAGCATACAATTTTTTGCACTCAATGTGATGATGAAGGGGCCTAGTTAGTGTAGGCATGAATTGGGGATGTAGAATCCACACTTTGAGAGAAGCTTTCAAATCTGTTTGCGTCACAAATGAAAATTGCATCAGTGGCAAATTATCTTGTGGGTTCAGGGAAGGGATTGGTTTTGGATGTTTTTGTTCTGAAGGCCATTCCATTATTTGGAGGTGGAGTATGAAATGAAATTTCAGTTTAATGTAATTATTTGGTTGAGTGGGATTTATGATTGATTTTTTGTTGGAAAGGTATTTGGAAACTGGAAGTTCCTTTCAAGGTTGTTTTGTTTGTAATGATCAGTTTCTCATGAGAATATACTAACATGCGATAACTTGAGGAGGAGAGGAAATTTTGTTCTAAACGGTGTTGCATGTATGAGAAGGGAAGTTGATAGCTCATTTACTTACTTTTGTTTGATGCTATGAAACTGTTTGTAACTATTGATGCAAAAAAGAATATGAGAACAAAAGAACATTCTGTTTCAAGGAGCTGGAGAAGTAAAGCAGGTAGTGGCATGGAATTAATACTTTGGGTTAGCACAACTAGGTTGTTGATTGTTTGTACTCATAATTTTTAATTTATGACTTCAATTCAAATTGATTTATGGTTTTAATAATTCTATGCTTGATAACTTTGGAGAAATTCAAGTTATGCACATGTATTTAGTCAATTGTTAGTACTTGGTATCATGAGGTAGATGCTATTTTTGTTTTTTCATTACTCATTTATATTTTCTTTTACATATATGTATTTTTAGTCCTGTGTCTAATATCTGGTATTTGTTTGGGCAGATATGGCACTGTAACACCAAGCCCTGTTGGACAAATGAATAACATGAAGTCGAAATCATCAACAAACCCTAGATGGCGGAGAGTGGTTTTCAAAATCAGTGGTGCTGCTTTGGCTGGGAACGGTTCTCATAATATCGATCCTAAGGTTTGTTGTTGGACTCTTTTGTATATTTAGATTAGAGATTTGGATGGCTTAACCTTAAACTTATGACCACTTTGGCGAGTGAAATTGTACTATTGCATGCCATCTGGGCTGGATACCATTGTACTAAGTTGGTTTTTCTTTTATTTTGGTAGGCGACAATGCTGATTGCAAGAGAAATTTCTACCGCTTGCCGTCTTGGTGTTGAGGTATTCATTTTCAAATGATTGTCGAATGCACCTGGATTTCTGATCTCATATGAACTTGACTTATGACATTCATATCATCATTTGATACTTAGGTGGCAGTTGTTGTTGGAGGCCGTAATTTCTTTTGTGGAGACACTTGGGTTACAGAAACTGGTTTAGACAGATCTACTGCCTATCAAATTGGGTAATGTGGTTATAATTAGCAATACAGGTTCTCTCTTATTAATAAAATAAGAATATTTTCAATATCTTTACTTCGAGAGATCATGATACTTGTAAAATTTGTTAAGTGGCAGTTTCTTGGTGTTGGACACTACTTGTTGCTAAGTTGAAGCTTTGTTCATTTTCTTTCTGTCATGATATCTTAGTTTTCTATGATATTGGTGTATATATGTGTTCTTATTGTACTGTCATGCAAAGATTCTTGCTTGTATGTACAAGAAAACTGGAAAAAAAAAAAACTTGGGTCTTGAGTGATTACTATAATCTTGATGTGTCAACGTGAATAATAGTCTTGCAGTAATAACAAATGAGAGAAGTTAGGCAAGGGTCACTTATAACAGAATAGAATTTGGGAGTGTATGGTTGTTTGGAAGTATATTAGTCGCCAGAAACGCATATTGGGGGTGACATTTCTTCTCGAAAACTGGAATTCTGCAATTCAGAGGAATAATTGAGTTAAAGTTGCATTCCTGTTGAAATAGAATTGTGGTTCTAACTAGGATGGAACCACTTACATGAATTCCCAAAAAATAAAGGAAAAACTACCAAGACAAGAAAATATGTGGAGAACAAATATATATATATCTGCAGTAGAAACAGATAGACATATCAATCTACATTAGAATGAAATAACGACAAAGAATGAAGAATAAATCGAAATATTATCATTTTTTTTCCTTCCACAACAACGTCTAAAAATTCTTACAATACATTTACATATAAGATACATGAATGTTTTCATAGACACTCTCAACCTTAGACTTTTTTGTATGCCCTTGCTCCTGCTCTTGCTTTGTGCAGCTAAGGGAAGTGCAAGACTGTTGGAAGGGACATTACAAGTAGCTCAACTTTTTCCCTCCCCTCTACAACCATGATCCATCTGTGCCGATAATTAATGTAAGAAACACCCATTTAATCATTGATCTTAGTTTTTTCATATTATGATTTGGTCCATTTGTAGTGGGGAGTAAAAGCAAGAGTACCCTTGGGTTACATAAGATTAACGTTTATTGATATTCATGGTGCATGAAAGAGAGAATTCTCTTGAAATCAAAGAGTTTGAAGAAGAAGACACCCACTCTGATTTTGCTATGGAAACCTTGTGAGGTTATGGTTTGTAAATATAGTAGAGAAAGGTTATTGGGTTTCTAAGAGGGGCTGTATTTGCTTGATTTGCAAAGACTAGGTACTAGAATTTCTGGACAACCATCATTTTGAGAGGATTTGGTATTAGATTGAATGCCATGAGGTAGGATTTTGTTAGGATATTGATGGGCTAGGGTTTTAGGTTTGAATAGTTTTATTTGGGGTTATAAATTGTACTATAGTAACTAGGGGTTTTCGTGGACCAGATTGATTCGGTTTTGGAGTGGACCTACGATTGAACCGGTCCATACAGTTCCATAAATTTTGGATTGGAATCAGACCACTGAAGATATGTATCTGAGCCGTAGAAATCGGTTTGGTTCTAAGGTTCTAGGCTATTTTGTTCCATAAAATTCCAATTATCAATCAGCATAAAATTGATCTATTGCAACATATAGGGCAACAACTTAAATCTAGTTGATTTCAACAAATGGAAAGAGAAAGATTGCAAGAAAACAGAGAGAGAGAGAGAGAGAGAGAGAGAGAATCAGAAAATGGAGCGGAGGTGGAGAGGATGATGAAGAGTGATGAGATTTAGGGCTATGTGTGTGGGATACACACAAAGTTGTCATAGCTCAGTTAGTTTTGCACATATATGAAGTTTAAGTCTTAAGGTTAGAGGTTTGATTCCTCCATCCAACAAACTTTTTATTTTATCTTACTTCTTTTTGATAAGTAAAAATAAAAAAAAATAAAGTGCCTTGAGGTGGCAAACCCTTTACAAAAAAATCTGCAGGACATTACATGTTCGCTGTGAAGTATACTTAGAAAACCCAGTGGTACTTTAAAATTTCACTGAGATGTACAAATCCCCTATGAACTTAAAAAAAGATGAAATCGAAAAGGACAATCCTTTCTCAACCAGCAAAAGGAGACAAAAGCAGTAATATGAATATATCATTTAATAAAAAAAGATGCAATGTGACACTAATTCTTACAAATCTATATTATTATTGTTAGTTTCATGCGTGTAAGAGATGGATACATGTGTCCCCAAGTGCCCGTAGCGTGTCTCGGTTTAAAATTATTAAAAGGACAGGTTTGGACGAGTGTCGCACACATGTTGAGAAGTATCCGATGAATGTTAGTGTCCAACATGGACATGCCACCTTTTTAAAAGTGTTGATGCTTCTTAGGATGAATACCATCTGTTCATTTATTTGCTGGGAAGAGTTGATGAAGTCCATTGATTCATTTAGGCTGTGCACTCACCTGATGTCAAATATGATGTTGCCAGTTAGTTGGAAGATTCTGATTGGTGTCTAGGTTATTGATTTTCTTTGTATATGAGGACATAGATGTTTAAATCTTACTTTTTATTAGATTAACTATGACTGATATTTTTTAACCCTACATATAGTTTGACTGCAATACCAGCTGTTGAATGGTTTATTGTCGTGGTTGTTTATGGCCTAAGTAAGATGTGACTTTGAAATTGTTACCAGTATGATGGCAACTGTGATGAATTCAATATTGCTCCAGTCAGCTTTAGAGAAGATGGGTATTCATTCACGTGTGCAAACTGCATTTGCCATGCCAGAGGTTGCTGAACCATACAGTAGGCAAAGGGCTATTCGGCATCTTGAAAAGGGAAGGGTTGTAATATTCGGTGGTATTGGTGCTGGCACTGGAAATCCACTCTTCTCAACTGATACAGCAGCTGCGCTTAGAGCTTCAGAGAGTATGACATTGCTCCATCACTTCTTTTGTGAATAGCTGATAATTACAGACGTTTATATATATAAATATATATATGTATATTCTCTGAAAGGAAATATGAATACTTCTTTTTCTCTTCAGTTCATGCTGATGCAGTCCTTAAAGGAACCAATGTAGATGGTGTCTATCTTTGTGACTCCAGAAGCAATGGTGTCGTATCTGAGCACATTTCCTTCAGGGAGTTGGCCTCTAGTGCTGCTCCCCTAATGGACATGATGGCAGTGACATACTGCGAGGAGAATGGAATTCCTGGTTTGTATATTTCGTTTTACTCCTTGGTTTTGAGCTAGGTTTCTTTCTTTCACTAGTATCTCTGATCCATTCAGTTATTAAATATGCCCCGCATCAAGGCATGGGTAGTTCTGTCAGTTTCTATTCATGAGATTTGTGGTAAATTGGTAATTGTTTTTAGAATCTTATGATTCACAATTTGATTCATGCGTTTCAATACAAGTTTCAAAAAATTGATTTGATTTGTGTTGTTCAATCTTAAATTCTGTGAATCTTACGATTCAATTGCATTTCACTATGATTCTTTGCAATTCATTACGATTCAATTCTATTTTGCATAATACATGGAACAATGTCGTTTTTGCAAAATAAAAAAGAGAAAATAATTGTATTGATATATGTAGATATATCAATACAATTAAATAATTGTATTTATAATTTAGTTATATTGATATTTATTTCATTTTAAACATTATGTGTATATACATGTATAAAATTATATATTATGCTAAATAAAGTGAATCTTATAATTCATGATTCAATATGATACTATTTCAGAAAAATGATTTATGATTTGACAATGAGGCTTGCTGTGGAAGGATGGGAGAGTTTCATGTCTTGATGTTTGGAGAGATGCAAATTTTTTATGTTGATTTAATGCTGTGAAATTTAAATTTCTTTTGCAGTTGTGGTGTTTAATCTTCATGAGCCTGGGAACATATCTAGAGCATTGTGTGGAGAACAAGTTGGTACACTGATTGATCAGACAGGAACAGTTAGCTAATGTTTGTGGATCATCATCCCCAATTACAATTTTTGTGGCATTCAAAGCTATGTTCATGCACTGGATTACTATTTGATTGTTCTTTCAAGAGCTAATATGCGGTAACTCAATTGTGGTTAGGGAAGATCTCAGCAAGACTGTACACAGGTTAAGACTTTGCTGCTTGTATCATACATGAGAAGGTTAAGCTTCTAATTTGCCTTCGTTGTTAACTTATTATCATTCTACAGTGACGACGACATGAGTTGCATGATTGATGATCTGCTTTGATCATTGTCCTGTTGTGATTTCTCTTGTAGTATATCTCGTATTGTAAATCGTTTCAACTTCTTAAAGTTGCTAGTTGAGAGAAGAGACTAGATGCAAATGAATTACCAGTGTAGTATAGTGTACTTATTGCTAATAGTGGTTGTTTATGATGTGTTATGATTAGCTTAAGGTTTTGATTATGAATGGACTTTTGACTTCCTTCGCGTATCATGTTGGTCTATGAGAGTTTTGTTGGATTTGGTGTCCTATTTTGTTATATGATTATATTCTTATGCTCTATATTTAGTTCATTGGAATAAAAATGAATGGATTGGAATCACCTCTTCTTATAGAATGATCATAACTTTAAAATGGTGAAAAATAATTTCATTTGTAATACATTTGTCATTATTTTTTCAAGATAACCAAACATAGGAATGAATATTTTGATGAAATAATCATTCCATTCCACTTCATTTTGGTCAACCAAACACTATCTCAGTGTGGTTCATTGGATTGGAATATAATGAAATAATCATTTTATCAAAATGTACGTTTGCATGTTAGGTTGATTAAAAAAAAATAATGAAAAACATATTGCAAAACGGAATCATCATTCACCGTGGTTGGAGAATATTTTATAAAAGTGCCTAAAGGATGATCATACCAGTCCATTTCATCTCAATCTAGTAAACTAAATAGAGTATAAGAGTAACTGACTTGGAAAAAATTAATGAATACTGTAAAAGTGTTATGTGAAATTGTTTGTGGTATTTTTGGCCAATAAATTATTGTAACACACATTAAATAAATCATTATCTGTCAGTATATTTTTTTCATAATTTTGTTTTTTTTTTTTTTGATTACATGATTATCGTATAAAACTTTAAAATTACTGAATAATTAGTCAGATTTTGAATGGGGGCAGTTCATCAATTGCACCAAGCCAAGAAGACTGTTTCTTGTTTTTTTCTGTCCACCATGAGTTGATGACTGAAAAAAAGCAGAGTAATATAATCATTAAAAACAAGGGCAATAGCAAAAGAAAAGGTGAACGATGTTAGTTGATACCAACTTTCATTCCGTCCGTCTTTCTTTTAATTTTTCCTTTTTATTTTTGGTGCTTCTTTTTCGGATAATCAACTGGCATAAATTAGGGCAAATTACCTCCTTTAAGGTTTAACAAAATTACATATTTTTTTTGAGGTTTTAAAAATTACATTTTGTGCCATGACAATTAATGCCGTTAACAGATATTATAAATTGACTAAAATGGTCTTTTGACAAATAAGGGCAAATTATTTACCCTTTGAGGTTTAGCTAAATTACAGATTCTTCTGAGGTTAGCTAAATTGTCATTTTTAAATAAGTTATAAAATGCAAAATTAAAATGAAAATGCACTTACCACACTACAAAAAAATTAAGGTTTTTGAGACCAAAATTTAGAGACCAAATTATTTTTAAGGGACCAAATATTTTTTGTTGCGAAAAGTGCCATTATTATATTTTTAATAACGAAAAGTGAACATTAGTGATTAATTATTTTCGTTTTGGTATCAAATTTTTTGTCCAAAAAAATAAACCATTTTGAACCAAATTATTTTGTTCTTAAAAATCTATTTATTATTGACATTTTCGAAAACTTTTATATAATGTAATGTATGGTGAAAACATCATAAAATTAACAAATAATTAAATAAGTTAAAAACACAAGAAATGGCTTGTCAAAAAATTCTTAGAATATGTTTAGTTTGAGTTTTAGAAATTTATTTTTAATTTATTTTTAAAAAAAATTAAAAATTAATTTGGTTAAGAAATAAAAAAATAAAAAATAATTATTATTTTTATATAATTTTTTCTTTTGAGTGGTTAGAAATAATTTTTACAAATTAAATATATTTTTTCATATTTATTTTTATTAAATTAGTTTTTATTTTATTTTTTAAATTCTAAAATGTTTTTCTAAACAACAAATAAAACATGATTCCAAAAACTTAATTTTTTTTTTCATCTAACGTAATTCTTTTGTAAATTTTGTTGATTTATCAAAGAGATTTCAGCAGGGGCAATATCGTCTATCAATTTGTATTTTGGTGATGTCAGCTAACCATTCTTAATGTTTAGTTAACGGTAAGGATTAAATTGTTATGTGAATATAAACTTCCGTGGGGGATGTAATTTTTGAAATCTTAGGAAAGAATCTACAATTTAGCTAAACCTCAAGGGAGGTGTAGGTAATTTGCCTTGTAAATTAATATGTTTATTAGCATATTACTCATGCTATACGAATGGGTATAAATAAATAATCAAAAATTTATTTAAAAATATGTTGTAAAAGTGATTTATAATCAATTAAATTTTATTAGAGTTACCCTAAGAGAAATTTTTATTCTTATGTCATTAATTGTATTTTCTAAATTCTTAATAAAAATCTGAATGTCATAATTTAATTAGCAAAATTTAAATAATAAATTAAAAAAATTTTGTTTACAATAAAATATAAATACATTTCATTTTATAAGTTTCATAATTTTAATTTACCATATGATAGTAATAAATTATATTTTTTAATATACTATTTTTTTTCTTATTTTGTAAAACCTAAAAATTTGTTTACTTAAAATTGTTGTCATAACTCTTATGTGAAAATGGATTAGAATTGACTTGTGGTGTTGGACTAAATATCTGAAGTGACCTGAAAGCAAGTTGACTCAATATTTATGGCAACTTAGTCATTAAAAATTGTCTTGATTATTTAAAATTATTTTTATCGGTTTGTAACCAGTATGAATTAGTTTTAGGGTTTCAATATTAGATTAAATATTAAAAATGAGTCTAGAAAATTTAGTTCGAGTTGATTTTTTTCTTCTCAACAATTCTTGGTTTAAGCCTATAAGACATCTTATTTTAATAACTCAATATGATTAAAAAAAAAGAAAAAACAAAAATCTTAATGTTTACGGTGCTTTTTGTCAATCAATAAAAAATATTTATAAAATATTAAGAGAATTACATTTGAAAAAATTCTAATATAAATTTTTTACTTTAAAATTCTAAGACCTACACATTTTGTTTGATTCTATCGACGTCACTAATCTTTAGGTGTCTCTATTTACACACCACATTTGGTCTTAAGGCACATCACTTACTTAATACACACCAAACACAATTTTAACTTTATTATTTTTGCTCAATACACACTATCCATTTTCAAATATACCTAAAATATCCTTATCTTCTTCAACCACCCCATCAACCCTAACCCTAACCTTAGCCGCCGCCACTCGCCGCAGGCCGTCGCCTCTACCTCATTCTTCTTCGACGAATCTCTTCCTCACTCCTTCATCCGTCACTCTCCCTGCCTTACCACTTCCAACCACACTTTCAAACCCTTTTCCATCCTTTTTTCCCTCCACCACTGGCTCAACCACCTCCCCACCATCGTTGCTACAACCTCTCATCCTATCCCATCTCATATCCTATTTCTTCTTCTCTTTCTAAAAACTACCAAACCTACCATCACTACCGCAACCCTCCTTCTACAAGGATCTTCCCCAATTCATCGAAGAGGAACTTCTCGCCAAAGACAACTGCAGCGGCAAGGCTTCGAATCAGAGCTTGAAATCCTAGAATTAAGCTTTGAATCTAGTTTGCGCGATCGAACTCCTGCAAGCCCTAGATCTAGATCTAAAAACCTTACGATTCTCTCTGTCTCTCTCTCTCTCTGTCTCTCTCTGTGCAATGGAGAAAAACGAGCCATGACCGAAGTGGGAGAATAGGTTTTTTGTTGTTGGGAGGAGGGAGAAGGGTTTGCATAGGGGAAAGGGGTCGTTGGCGAGGCATGGAGGTTGTGGAGGTTACAATGGTGGTTGGATTTCAATGACAGTGGCCGGAGGTAGAATCAGGCGGCGGAGAGTGGTGGTGTGTGGGGGTTGTATTGATATTCTTTTGTGGTTATTTTGGTAATTTTATGTAAGGTCATTATTGTAATAATAAATAACCAATTAATGGTGTGCCTTGAGACTAAATGTGGTGTGTAAATAGAGGCACCCATAATCTTTGGAGGTTTCATGATTTTTTTTTTTAGTGGAATGTTTGTTTGCTATAATATACATACATAAATTGGAATATCGATGCATATTTATTAAACATGAAGAAAAAAAAAATCTATGAAATATATGTTAGTAGTATAAAAATTCAAATTCAAATTCAAATTCAAATTTAAATTTATATTTTAGTTAACTTTCCTTTTCAATTTCTAAATTTAAATTTTTAAATAAATAAATTAACTTTCTTTTTGAAATGTGTAAATCAAGACATAAGAGTTATTTAAATTTTTAAATAGATTAACTAACTTTCTTTTTAAATTTAAATTTTTGAATGAATTAATTAACTTTCCTTTTAAAATGTGTAAATCAATGCATAAAAGCTATTTAAATTTTTAAATAGATTAATTAACTTTCCTTTCAAATTTAAATTTTTAAATGAATTAATTGACTTTCCTTTTAAAATATATAAATCAAGGCTTAAAAGCTATTTAAATGTTTAAATAGATTAATTAACTTTCCTTTTAAATGGATTAATTACAATTTTTTTAAATAATTCAATAAAAGTTAACCAATAGAATTTTTTTAAGTATTTAAAAAATAAGAATTCTAGAAAAATAGTATGAGGGTTTTGAACTTCACAATAATCTTCTCATTAAAAATCTCATTTTGCTTATATAATATATTAGTGAGCCTATTTCGAAAAAATTAAACTAAAATAAGTTAATTTTTTATAATGCATACATGTTAAATGAGCCGAGTCAAATTTCAAAATATATTCACTTTACTTGGTTAGATTTTTCCAAAAACACTTTTCAGAAAATTTACTTTTTTATTTTTCGTGTTTTTTTTTTAATTTTTTTTTAATATTTTAAGAATTTTTTTAATTTTTAGATATACCTAACATAAATATACCTAAAAAATAAAAATAAAAATTATGAAAAAAACCTTTTAAAAAATTACTAAATGCCACTTTTAATTTATTTATTTAACGAGTCGAAAGAAGGAATATTTCTTTTATGCGCCTTCCTGCACTTTTGGTTCAGTATGCAATTTTTATGCATGGCTTTCATATCACTTTCGTTTGCTCTTAACAGCCACAAATTTAACAGATTTCAAGGTTAGCATATTCAAAATTCTAGGGACATTCTATCACTTATTATTATTATTATTATTATTATTATTTTATTTTCGATTCAACGAAAATGGATATGCAGCTATTACTTCGTTATTATGTTTGCTTCCAAACCACTCCAAACAAATTCAAATTGTCAAAATAAGCATTACCCAACATTATAACAGAAATTAAATTAAACATAAAGCATACAAATGTTACAAAGTTGATCCCAAAAAACAAAAGAAAAATCCATAGCTTATGAGAAGAGAGCATATAACAACTGCTACAACAACAATTTGCAATAAGATGATGCAAATGGAGAAAGATTTTATAACTAAACCATCAAGAAAGACCGGCATTAGTAACCTGCCAATGCCTCCTCAGTGGTGGCAAGCGATGGTGATAGCGAATTACGTGATTCGTCGTAATCTTCGCCAATCGGAGACTGCTCCACCCTGATTTCCTCTATCATCTTCGCCACCTCCACCATCGCCGGCCTCTTTTCGGGCTGTGCTGCCACACAAGCCAACCCAACATGAAGCATTTCCACAAGCTCCTCCTCTATGTTCTTATACCTCAACAATTCTTGATCAAACACTTCCGCGGTCCACTCGTCTCTCACCACTGATCTCACCCATTTCGGTAAGTCTACTGCCTCTTCCTCCTCCACCACTCGGGGACGTGTCGGTGAAGGGTATTGCGACGGAGCTCTACCTGTAAGCACTTCAAGCAATAATACTCCAAAACTGTAAACATCTGCTTTTTGAGAAAGTCTCTTGATTTCAACCTGTTCAGGAGCTCTGTACCCCCCTAACCTTGCTGTCGCATGAACTGGATTCAAAAGCAATGCTAACCCAAAATCAGAAATGCAAGCAACACCATTTTTGTCGAGCAGTACATTCGATGATTTCACGTTCCCGTGGGGGATCTTTGTTGCAGAGTACTCTTCATGAATCCGAGCAAGGCCACGTGCTGCTCCAAGCACCAAGCTGATCCTCGTAGTCCAATCTAATGGAATTCTCCCCGGACCCCGGTTCCCTGTTTGCATCAACACAATGAAAAACTCATTACACTTAAGAATTTTACATATACAAATTTCAATTCTTTATCAAATTGTTCATTAAATTTAAATTTAATAATAATTTTGATAACAAAAATGATCAAACCTTTTATTAAATTTGTATCAAATCAAGTTTTGACCAAATATTATATTAAATCAGGTGAGGATCAAATTTCTTCACCAAAATTTGATGAAATTACAACTATGGATGTGTTTCAATCATGAATTTTGATAAAAATTTGGGAAAAAATGGAAGAAAATGTGGAGAAAAAAATAAGCTTGTATTTCATTTGCATTTTCCTTACATTTTCCAAATCTTTATCCAAATTCATAATTCAAATACATCCTATAGATTGAAGAAATTGTTAGAAGACGAAAAACTTAATACTGATTTTCTTCACCTAAATTGGTTAAAAGAGATTTTTGGTGTAGTTTTAAGTATTTTTAAAAAAGATTTGATGAACAAATTTGATAAGAATTGATTCTAAATTCAAACAAATTTGACAGACCTAGTAATATCAAATCAAGTTTTTGATCAAAATTCTTGAAAAAGGGTAAAGAATTGGAGATGGTTTTTAACACTACCCAACACAATATTGATCGGATGAATTGTGAATACCATGAAGAAGAGAATGCAAGCTTCCATTTGGGAGATAATCATACACAAGAAGCTTCTCTTCCTTGGCATAATAGTAAGCTCGAAGACGAACAATATTCGGATGCTTAAGCTTCCCAATCACATCCATATATTGTTCAAACTCATTCCTCGCACATGGGTTCGCATCCTTCAGCCTCTTCACCGCCACTGTAAACCCGTCATCGAGCACCGCCCTATACACTGTTCCGATACTCCCTTTTCCGAGCATTTCAGCCGAAGCACGAAGCAAATCCTCAAGTTCAAACTGCTTTTTCCGATCGAAAAGCACGAGTTTGCTTCGATCGGTAGCGTTGGTTCCATCACTGTCACATGCAGTGTTAGCATACACTTTCTTCTCATAGCTACTGGAACTCCTCCTCTTCCCACTCTCACTCTCCGATCTAGAATTCGAATCCCTCGATCCCCTCCCGCAACAATAAGCCACCAAAAACGAACAAAACAATAAAAACACTACTGAATTGGCTATGACAATTGCTGCTATAGCACCGGGACTCAAACCTCTACGAGTTTGTTTTTTTGTTTGGTCGATTTTCGGCGTTGAAGGGAACGAGCTAGGGTTTGAAGGTACGGTTTCTGAAGCGGCTGCGGCAGGAGGAGTGTTTGTGAAGGAGCAAGCCGGGAGAGGGGTCGATCCGCAGAGCCCTTCGTTGCCGGAAAAAGCAATGTAGGTGAATTTTGTGAGCAGAGTCGCGGGCAAGGGGCCGTAGAGCTCGTTGTTGGACAAATTGAGCTGTGTGAGGAGAGGGAGAGAGGAGAGAAATTCGGGGATTTTACCGGAGAGTTGGTTGTTTTGGAGGCGGAGAGTGAGGAGGCGAGTGAGATTAGAGATGGAGTCTGGGATGGGGCCTTTGAGGTTGTTGTTGGAGAGGTCGAGGCGGAGGAGGCGACCGAGGGAGGAGAAGGTGGAGGGAATGTCGGCGGAGAAGTCGTTGGAGGAGAGGTAGAGGAGTTTGAGGTTGGAGCAGTTGGAGAGGGAGGAGAGAGAGCCGTTGAGGCGGTTGCCGTGGAGGTCGAGGAGGCGGAGCTCGGAGAGGGAGGAGAGAGAGTCGATGGGGCCGCGGAGGTCGAGGGAAGGGAGAGAGAGGGCGGTGACGCGGTTGTTGGTGCAGCGGACGCCGTGCCAGGCAGCGGAGCAGGCGGTGGCGGCGGCGGTGGTGGTGGTGGTGGGGAGGGTCCAGTTGGAGAGGAGGTTGCCGTGGGTGTCGGTTTGAGAACGGAAGAGGGAGAGTGCGGCGGTGTCGTTGGTGGTGGTGGTTGGTGAAGAGAGAGAAAGTGAGAAGAAGAGGAGAGAGAAGAAAGTGAAGGCATGAACCTCCATGCTGTTGGAGTGCCAAGGCGGGAAGTGGATGGTGGTGGTTGTCTTTTAAAAATGTAAGAGACAAAAGGTTGAAATTGTGGATAACACAAAGGCCTCTTTTTTCTCAAAAGCCTCTTTTTTCTTTTTTTTTTTTTTTTTTGCCTTTATAAATTTATATTGAATAATTATTTAATAAAAAAAGTCAAGGATAAATTACAAACACACCTATAAGGTTTGTTTAAAATACATATGTTCTCTGTAGTTTTGGATATTACAAATATTTTATTGTTAGAATTTTTTATTGGGAAAATAAGTTATAAGTTATAATTGGAAGACTTATTTAATGTGAAATCCTATGAATATTCTTTTAGAGTTTGAAGTCCTATTTAAATAAAAATGTGTTCCATAAGGTCTTATGAGTTATAAATGAATAATATTAGTGTATTATTATACTCCTAATTTGTTTTCATATTGTATATTATTTTCTCATTCATTATATCACGTTTGAGAAGGTTTTCAGGAAAGACCAGTCTGCAGGCAATGACCGCGCAAGTTTTTTCACCTTGATCACGGGATTTTAGTGCATTTTCAAAATGTTGCTTAAATGGATGTGGATATGGCTAATAATATGATGAAGTTTGAGGGTTGTGTGCTGATTCTTTTGACAAATTTCGACTCCAATCAGTTGAGGGGAAGAGATATTTATTTTTTATTTTTTTTGAAATATGGATTGTTCATTTTTAATATGGCATTGACAATTTATTACACTCATTGATAAGGAGATTTTGGCCGATGTTTTGATTGAATGTGTATTCAACATTGTGATAGTTGATGCATTTTGATATATTCGAATTGTGAGGTGGTGTGTATGCGTTTAAGGGTTGTGTTGGGGGTATTTGGTTTTGATTGTTAATTGGATGTTGAATGTGAACCACGTCATAAGATGACAATTGTACATTGGGACCTGAATGATCGTGTTACGATGTATGTTACATTGAGTGTGTAATGTTATCCACATACACTATGTAATAGATGACATTTGTATGTTTGTTCGGTTGTATATGTGTTTGAATATGTATCATGTCTTTGTTGTAATTAGTGTTTACATATATGTCACAGTACGTTGCGCAAAATTATTAGGAATTTGAGTTTGTAATTGAATGTGGATTGAATCCGATTGCTCGATGTTGAAGTTACGCTGGGTTAAAAGTGATTATGGTTCAATATGTGGGTTGGGAATGTTAGATGTTATATTTAGGAGGTTACATTATTCGTAATTCAACGGTGGAGTATTGTAATGTCATATTGGGTTTGAAATGACAAGCATATGAGAATATCACGGTGGGTTTGGAATGTTACATGTTACATTTACGTTAGGTTTTAGATGAGAAGCATATAAGAATGTCACATTGGATTTGAAAATGTCACCGCGTTGGGTTTGGAAATGTCACATTGGGTTTATGATGTTACATGTTACATTTATGTTTTAAATTTTAAATTTCCAATCATATAAATATGATTACAATCTATAGTAACATTTGATTTTCCATATATGGTAATGCCATTAATCAAATTGTTTTGAATTTCAGAAGCATATAAGAATGTCACGTTGGGTTTGGGAATGTCACATTGGATTGGGATGTTAATGTTACATTTACGTTTTGAATTTCGAATTTCTAACCATATAGATATGATCACAATTTATGATAACATTAAATTTCTCATATATGGTATTATCATTAATTAATTAAGTTATTTTAAATTTCAAATTTCTAACTATATAAATATGATCACAATTTATAGTAACATTAGATTTCTCATATATGGTATTACCATTAATTAGGTTATTTTGAATTTCAAATTTCTAACCATATAGATATAATCACAATCTATGGTAACATTATATTTTTCATATATGGTATTATCATTAATCAGGTTATTAATTAATTAAGATTTGGGGTAGATGTGTCCACAAGAAAATCAAATGACTTATTGGGTTATAAATTTTTTCATTGGATCATATATATCTTGTATAAGTCTTCCAAATATGACTTATAAATAATTTATCCTTTATTTAACATAATTAACAGAAAAAATAAAATCCTTAACTACTCTCTTATATAATAATAAAATTATCTAAATTATTAATTAAAAGATATTTCTAACATCAATAAAAACTAATAATTAACTTGATAATTTATTAATGAAATGGATTGTTTGTTATACGATTGGAAACTTGAAAGTTCGGGATGTAATTTCCAAAACTATAGGATACAATCCATATTTTAAACAAACCTTAGAGGTATGTAATTTACTTATTGGGTTATAAATTTTTTCATAGGATCATATCTTGTATAAATCTTCCAAATATGACTTATAAATAATTTACCCTTTATTTAACATAATTAAGAGAAAAAATAAAATTCTTAACTACTCTCCTATATAATAATAAAATTATCTAAATTATTAATTAAAAGATATTTCTAACATCAATAAAAACTAATAATTAACTTGATAATTTATTAATGAAATGGATTGTTTGTTATACGATTGGAAACTTGAAAGTTCGGGATGTAATTTCCAAAACTATAGGATACAATCCATATTTTAAACAAACCTTAGAGGTATGTAATTTACTCAAAAATTAATTAATATCATTTTATTGTAAGTATTTATTTTTTAGAATGATTTCGTTTGGTATTGACTTTTTGGGTTAAATTAGTCATAAAAAGACAAAATACACTAAAAAGTTAATGAGACAAAATGTTACATCTAAGCCATAATCATTTTTTTTTCTCACAAAAGTAAAAAAATCAAAAAAATCAACTCAAATGAACTTTTTAACCAGTGCTAAAATAGCAAAAAAGTCAACTAAAAAAATCACATACCAAACAACAACAATATACTTATATAAATATATATATATATATATATGATTATTTGAAATGCTTAAATATGTATGGACAACATAATTCCATCTTGTTTATCTTTAAGATTTAACTTCTTATTTTCCCCAAAAATTGTATCAAAGAGGATTTTAACACATTTTATTTCTAGAGTGATAATCTAAAATGTTATAATTATAAAAAGTAATCTATAAGTAATACTAAATGAGCACAATAAGTCATTGTCGCTCTCAACATAACTCCCAGCTTAGGCGCAACTTATGAGAAAGTGCGCCAGGGGACGACTTAGGCTGTGCGCTAGAGGGAGCGGCTTGGATTGTGCGTCAAAAAGGGCACTCTCTCTGGCACACAACCCAAGCCGCCCCCTCTGGTACACAATCCAAGCCGTCCTTTCTGTCGCACAACCTAAGTCGCCTCCAGGCGCACTTTCTCATAAGTCACCCCTTGGCGCACTCAATCTATTTGCCTTTTATGTGTTTGTATCTTCAAACCTATTTGTATTATACCTATATCATGGTAAGCATGGCAATATACCATATGAATCACCTAAGGCGCCCTCTCTAGCGCACAATCTAAGCCGCCCTCTCTGACACACAATCCAAGATGCGCTCTCTGACACACAATCCAAGTCGTCCCCTCTGGCACACAACCTAAGTCGCCAAGGGGTGACTTATGAGAAAGTGTGCCAAAGGGCAGCTTAGGTTGTGCGCCAAAAAAGGCAACTTGGATTGTTCGCCAGAGGGTGGCTTAGGTTGTGCGCCAAAGAGGGCGCTTGGGTTGTACGCCAGAGAGGGCGACTTAGGTGGTTAGTAGATAAAGAGAATAATATGTATTGTGTTCAATTAATTTATCATATACAAAAGAAGACCTGTATATATAGGCTGAGAAAGAGTATCGTATAAGAAACATAACTATGAGAAATAGTATCCTATAAGAAACCTAACTATGAAAATATAAATATATCTAGAAAATCAATACATAATATATCTGTGAATATATACCATATATACATTAACATCCCTCCTCAAACTCCAGGAGGATAAACATTTTGAGTTTTGAGAAAGAAACTAAAACATGAAATAAAACTAAATAAAATAAAAGGCAAATAGATTGCAAAATCTGAACAGGAGCGCAAGGGCGCTTGAGATAGATAAGAGACCGGAACTAATGCCGAGAGATAGTTTATGATCATGTCGGACCGTTGTAGGAATTGGCCGAAACTAATGTCGGGACAGTTTGAAGTCATATCGGACTATTGTAGTAACTAGCTGGAATCAATGTCGGAACAGTTTACGGGGTCATATCGGACCGTTACAGAGACTAGATGTTGAACTAGTAAGCGTGACACATACATAATTTATGACATAGTGCTGAATGATGATGGAAACAGATGATTGAGTGCGCTAGGGGACGGCTTGGATATGCGTCAATGGGACGACTTAAAGAGTGCGCCAAAAAAAGGCGGTTCAAGGAGTGCGCCAAGGAGACGGCTTAGGTAATACGCCAATGGGGTGACTTAGAGAGTGCGCCAAATGAGACGACTTAGGTACTGCGCCGATGGGACGGCTTAGAGAGTGCACCAAAGGAGGCGGCTTAGGGAGTACGCCAAGGGGACGGCTTAGGTAATGTACCACAGGAGGCAGCTTAAGGAGGTTTACATGCGCCAAGGGGAGGCTTGGGTGGTTTTCATGACGTATAACCATGTTTACCATGATATATGTATAATACTCCCCTAAAACTCAAATATGTTTGAAGATATAAACCTATTTGAGATTGAAGCAGAGTGAAAGACACAATGGAGTAGAAACACAAAAAAATAAATATAAATAAATAAATAAAAATAAAAGTATTGCGAGTAAAAAAAAATAGAAGTAGATTATTAGCTACAATGGACAAAGGAAGAGATCACCATGAAGCGATACTGACCGAAAAATATAACAGTGGAATAGGTTGAGGTCCGATGGGCGGGCGGCCAAGGCAAGGTTGTCGCTCGCCGGTGAAACAAAATTATTAGGTACTTTACCTAACTCTGATACCATGTTATAATAGTATCAGAGCTATTGATTTCCTAGATATATTTGTATTGTCATAGTTAGATTTCTTATAGGATACTCTTTCTCATAGTTAGGTTTCTAGTAGAATACTATTTCTGA